CCAAATCTCGTGTAGCGTAGCGGTGACTTACTGCCACAAGCAACGACAAACGTGAAGTCGTGAATTCCCAGCACCATTTCGCCCTGAGGAAGCACTTCCACGTTGTCACGGAGTTGCGCCACAAAGTCCTTCACAAAGCATTTGGCGTTGATCAGGTTCTTCGGCACCCTGTCTTTAGGTTGTGCATCTACATCCATCTCTTGACAGCATTGGCGGTGCAACGGAAACTCCTGGATCGCCCGTCAGCGGCCTGTGTCTTATCGGTTCGTGCAACCTCCACGGGGTAGACGTCGCCATCGACGATCACTGTGAAAATCAATCACGAGGTCTTCAGACATATTGGTCACGATCTTGGCGATCTCTTCGTTCTTCTTGGGTGGTGTCCTTTTGCGTGGGGAGTCGACTGTGATAAGCTCGATAGCCTCAGCCGACGCGTAGCGGAAGAACGATCTCTCAATGCCCCTCACGCATGCGTTTGCCCTTCAAGCCCACCCCAATTTTGGAAATGAGTTGGATACCTCATCGCAATCGTAAGAATTCCAAGCGCTAGCCCCAGGATGTCTCCTAAAAGTCTTTTGGCGATGAGGAGCCTCGGTTGCATTCTTGGCGTTCTTCCGGTGTCAAAAGCATCCTCATGAAACCCGCGTACGCGCAGTTTCCAGCGTCATACTGCAGTAGCAGATGAAGCATGTCGTCCCTTTAGTCATATCCTCTGTCCCATGCCTTTTCCCACGCCGCGTACTCTGGCTGTAATGCGGAGACCACCGTAAGAAACCGTTTTGCCAATGTCTTCGTAAGCCATTTCGGTGCACTTCTTGAGGAACTCCTTGATGTCCACGAGAGAGTCCACAAACTGCAGACTCAAGTCGCAGACATGCTTGCATGCCAGAGTGTACTTCTAGGACGTGACCAAGTCGTTGAAGAAGGTGATGAAGACGGTCAAGTGCTACGCACAGGCGTTATTCTTGCCAACTGGAAATGGGTACCCTGGACATTGCATTGGATGTGCGCCCCTGAAGATGCAAAACAAAATCTCCTCACATCCAGAGCAATAGAACGTTCTCTCTTTGACATAGCCAGAAGTTGCTGTAGAGTAGGTGTCGATTCTGAACCAGTAATGCCTGTTGTCGTGATAGGCCTCCGGGACGGTCATGGCGATGTCGAAATCCTGTCAGTTAATTTACCAAAGGACGATTCAGCAACCGTGTCGCCTCGGGCCCCGGGCCAGATCTGTTGCTTCTGCTCCCCTGTGAACCATGTCTGGAAGATCTTCGTGGACGTGGTGACCTCACTCTTTGTCCTCCCAGATCTCGACGAGCGTGGGGGGAGCAAGGGTATCAATACGGACACTGTCGTCCCATTGACGTATCCTTGAACTTTCAACAAAGCACGCTGACACAATTTTCTCTGAACAGCTGCTTCTCGTAGATAGCAAAGGCCAGCTTGAATCGGACGCGAGAATCGGGAGGAGGCAACTTCTCTGCCGACAGCGTGTGCATGCCGGTTGGAGACTGTTTCAATTGGCTATAGATTCTTCACCAAAATGATGATCCATGAATCACCACACATGCTCGAGCTCGTAGTTCCAATTCGATGTATAGTCCCAATGTATAGTCCCAATGCATGGAAGCCGTTGTACAACGAAGCTTTGTGGAAGAGAAAATTGCTACCTGCTCCGACGAATCGCAAATCGTGGTTGATGTTGACGATCGGAGGCCGTGTTGTACGCTTCCCCGCAGCGATGATGGGGTCGACGTACGTCTCTTTGAGCCTCGTCGCTGCAACCTTTCACGGATAGCCTGGAGCGATAGATGGTAATGCAAGGTAACGGTCGCGATCTGCTCCTCTGACATATCGTCCAACGTCTCGTTCACGGACTCCAGAGAATTCTTGGTAGTCTGGAAGTTGTAATTGTTACCAGACGATAGCGATGGGGACACGATGTATATCTCCCCCCATCCAAGCATGCTGAGGCTTTCACGTAGCGTGTGAGTTGTCCCCTTCGTCTTGGCAATGATGTCGAAGTCCTGAACAAGGATCGTACACTGGGAACGCATCGTCACGGCGTCAGGTTTGCCACCCATGCCCAAACTGTTGCGAAATCCGTTCAGCGTATTCATGGTGTTGATCTTTGCTGCGTCGGTGATATCCTCATTGTCGACGAGATCACGGTCCAATTCGATCATCACGGTCGAGGTAAGCATCGGAGGGGACGAGAGAGACAGTCAGCGGTGGTGTTTCGGCAAGTGCAAATGTACTCGCCTCACCTCCAATTGTTAAGGCTCCAAGAACCTGACCGAATCCAAGTGATGCATCCCCCGCATAGAAGATGACACAACCCCTCCAAGCTTCCCGACGGTGGACTAAAGAAGGACGAGCGCGACAAGCGCAATTTGAAGGCGATCGTCTTTGCAATCTTCTTCTTCGAATCCGGGCGAGAGCTCGCCTCGAGTTTGGTCTGAGCTCTTGCCCGTTCTACAGCAGCCAAGATTGCCCTGCGGTCTGAGCAACGGCGGTCTTAACTGCTTCAACGTGGGTGGGAGTCGCATCGGCGGTGACCTTCGCGCTGACACCAGGCAGAGCTCGAATCTTGTTAGTGTCCAGGGCGGCAAACAGCGGGTTGGAGAGCAGGTAGACCATGACGTCCAGTCTTGGGCCAGGAGCAGGTCAAGGGAGAACTCGAAGCTGTCCTATTGGACTTCCACCTCAGGTGCGCTGCCTCGCGGGGTAGCCAGGCAGAGATTAACCGTCATGGCAATCCCTGCGAACAGTGGAAGCAGCGGCTCGCCAGGGGCCCGAAGCCATCAATCCTGAGAAGAACCTCAAGGAGCGCACGCACCTTTGACAAGCTGATATAGGGGCTCTCTTACGACACTCAGGACAACACTGTGTCTCTTCTGGGACCAAAGCTGCACCTTAAGTGCGAAAGCCATCTCTTCTGCTACTAGCGGCTGGATGCTAGCGGAAGCTTTCCGCTTGGGCATCAGAAAAGCAGGTCACTTGCTTCTTGACCGAGAACACTCGCCTTGCTCTTCGTCGGACACGCGGAAATCTGGAGTTCTTGGCTGCCGTCCTTCCAGCCGCAGACCCAAAGCTGGTTCTTTGCAACAGCATCATCAGCGTCAGCGACTTGAATGAAGTGGAACTTCGGCTTCATATGCATTAGGGCAGTCAGACAGAAGTCGGGAAAAGGTGATGTCAGCTGCACCATCGCGACTTTGGTGCCACATCGCGACCTGCACTCCTGGCATTTATGATGCTGCAGAGAGCTGTGACGAAGGCATGTATGCGACCACAACACCGCAACCTGTGATTCGAACGCTGGCGAGATGAAGCTGAAGCCTTCCTTGAGCGAGGTGGAATCGGCCCAAGCATTCATATCCCGTTCATCTCTACTGAGCTGATGCCGCACCTCCATGAGCCGGATTATGATACACACCGGTATGGATTTCACCGCCTGCAGGAGCTATATGCGCAGCGCAATTACCAATTGTTATACATGTTGCGCGAATCCCACTTTCCGACCAGCGGCAACGACATGCAGCGCCTGCTGGATTCTTGGCCGTGGCCTTCGTCGCCGGATCGTACCCTGTGACGTTGCAGGACGTTGCTTTCCTGCGGACGTTACTAGAGTCACCTATGGCCATCGACATACGTCGTAGGGCCCATGACATGGCTCTTGCCGCTGGTTGTGGGCTCCGCCGTGGACTTGTGGATTCTGCGTGCACGATCGTGACACAACAAGACCCCGGGGCTGACCGTTGTTCGACGGAACTAGAACGGCGGCCGGAGCTCCGTCTTTGGGCTCCACCGGTGGTCTTGGACAGCTCTAGGCGACGGCCTGTTGCTGTTGTGGATCGGTCGCTGAGGCATCGTAGCTCGTGCTGAACGGCCAACACCGGCAAAGCCTGTGCGCCGCAGCTAGTTTTTGCCTCTTATTGTTGTGCCGCCCTGTTTCACCGCTGTTTTTGTTTGTTTGTTTGTTTGTTTGTTTGTTGGTTTGTTGTGTTTGTAGGGACCGAGTGCTACAACCGTAGCCGACGAGGCCCGCCCACGCCAAAAAAATCAGAAAAACACAAAATTCGCAAACATGTACCAGACACATGTGACTGAAACTCGAAAGAATTTGATTCTTGCAGAAATGCAGCAATGGGAGGCACGGCGTCTATCTTGTCAACTCTCTCACTTGCAGCAGCACGAAGCGTTCTAGAAAGAGCGAGTCAGCACTCTGGAATTCTTGCAGCTGTTGTTTTTTTTGAAGACTGAACTCATGGAAGCTGTCAACCTTCGAGGCGTCAAAACAAATCAGCTAAAAACTTGCTTTTGAACAACTGCCGACGAGGAGTTTGGGCACGACATTCAGAATGCTGCAAGTGACAAGAACAAGGATTCTGTCTCTCTCTGGGGAGAGTGTTCCAGCTCCACACTCTGTGTTGGTCACAGACCTCGTTTCGAGACATGAAGAACTTCCTCCGAAGGAGGACGGATTTTTATTCTCAAGTCTTGTTTTCAACAACTTGGTTTTTCCAACCTTTGGTTGTTTTCCAACCTTCTTTCATGCCGAACTTTTCCCAAACTCTTTTTCCAGTCGCCTTTTCGGCTCCAGTTTGCTTTTCGGTGAGGCCTCTAGAGTCCTGTCGCTTCTTTCTAGCGAGGTTCGAGCTGCTAATTCCAAGGCTTTAGCTTCGTGCACGGTGCCCCTTTGGAGGGCGCCAGATGGGAACAAGGCCTCCTGCTTTGCCTGTCTCTGAGCCTTCCAGTGTGACCGCTTCCTCTAGCTCCACCTGGGAAGCGATTAGTTCACATCTCTACGACCTTCAGATTGAGTGCAACATTGTGGAGAGTCGAGTAAGAACACTTGAAGATCGCTTGGAGCTCTTGGAGAGTCAGGCAGCCCAAACGCAAGCTCGCGTCGGCTTGTTGGAACGATTCTTGACCGTGCTCAGGCTTTGCTGCCGTAGGCTGGCCTAAGAAGGCATCATTGCAAGACACGTCACAACATGCAGCCTCAGTCTCTTTCTGCTGGGGGCTCCTCGACTTCAGCTTCGACATCAGGCCCGGGGTCTCGCTCTGAGTTCCTTAAGAGCATAGACCGTCTGCTGCTTGAGTGCAGTCACAGTGTTGCGGGCTCCAGTGAACTGGAGCTGCCGTGGGAGTCTGGCATTCTTAAAGAGATATTCTGCCCGGAGCATGCTGCCCCGATCATCCCTTCAGTGAAATTTCCTTTTGATATTCCCATTTCTTCAGCTTCGAGCCTTGGTGAAGCGGAGAAGCTTGCAAAGCCGGAGCCTCGATCCTGCAGCTTCTTTAAAGCCGTTTCTCAAAAGGTCAGAGTGGTGAAGGCTCCGATCAGCCCTCTTGATAAACGTGAGCTGCTTTGCCAGCGGTTTCATGTGTTGCTGTCGCACTCTTGTTCGGGTTCTAGGCTAGGGGGGTTGCTTGCCAAGGAGTCTTTTGAGAAGGGAACGCAACTCGTCTCGGATGCACTTGGGGGTAAAGCCCTGTCTACCCTCCAGAAAAGGTACGGGCAATTATCCAAGTACGTCACTTGGTGCAACGACACAGGGTGCATAGGTTTCCCCCTTTCTTCGGATCTTGTGCGGCAATACACCGAGTTTGCAGTGAAGACCAAAGGGCATGGGTCAGTGTCAAGCAACCTTGAGTCTTTCAACTTTGCGATCTATGTCCTTGGTGTTTTCATTGGTGAGCCTCTCCGGTCTGACCCGGTCTTGACAGGACGTGCTCGACGCGAGAGATTGAACAAGCCTCCCAGGAGGCAGGCACGCTCGTTTCTCGTTGCAGAAGTGCTTCACCTCGAGGGTTTCCTTGCATCCGAATCCAATGCACTATTGGACCGATTTGCCGCTGGTTGCATGCTCTTCGCGATCTTTGCCAGGGCGAGGTTAGGCGACTTGAAGTCCGTGTCAAGGTTCACACTTGACCTTGCAGAACCCTCTGCAGACTGCGCCGAAGGTTTCTTGGAGTGTTACTCTTATAGCCATAAGACTAAGTCGCATCTGGGGACTTGACTTCTTGGAGGTTGCGCGGCAAGTGGATCAAGACCTTCTTCAGAAGGACGATGGTTCCGCGCTGTTGTGTGTGCCCACGTCTGTGGGCTCTTTGCTCAACCATCCGATCAAGAATGAAGCCTTCGTAGTGTGGATCAATGGCATCCTTAAGGATCTCCCTTTCTTCGGAGGTCACTTCACCGGCCACACAGCGAAGTCTACTTTACTTCCTTGGTTGGCCAAATGGGGCGGCTCTGAGGATGACAGGGCCATTCTTGGGCATCACATGCCTAAGAGCAAGAGCGTAGCCACTTACAGCAGAGATCTTCAGGCTGGTCCTTTGAGAGTGCTGTGGTCTCTTCTATGTGACGTTCGGTCTGGAGCTTTCCTTCCTGATTGCACACGCTCTGGCCGCTTTGTACGTCAGGTCGAGGATTCAGGAGTGGAGCCGGCTCTTGACGTTCCTGCTGGTCTCCCTGATGGGGCCCTCAGCCCTGATCTTGACTTCGGTGTCTTCGGTGAGGGCCAAGGGCCTGTGAACATGGGCAGCGAGGTTGGCCCTGAGGAGGAGTTAGCGTGGTACCGTAACCAAGAGCTGGAGGATGCTGACATCGATGCTTTCCTCAACGAGAGCCGTGGCAGAGAGCTTGAGCCCCGGGATTTCTCAGACCTTCCGCCCGAACCGGGAGCTTCTGATGATCTCAATGTGGAGGGGGATCGAGATGGCAGCGGTTCGGACTCTGAATCGAGTTCGAGCTCCAGCTCTTCTTCAAGTTCTTCAAGTGCTGATGAGAAGGTCCAGGCAGCGAGCGACTTAGCATGCAGATTGAAGCACCACGTCGTGGAGGGATGCAAGCTTTACCAGCATTGCAGGACAAAGACTGTGCATCGCATGCTTGAAAACTCGAGCGACGATAAGTTTGTTTGTGGCAGGCCTCTCACCAAAGACCATCGCCCCTTCAGGACTTTGGTCAAGATCACTGCTTGGGATTGCAAGCAATGCGCTCAGAGAAAGCCGATTAGCAACACCGGTGCCCTTGTCGGTGCGCTTGATGTTGCCTTGGGCAAGCGATGACAGCCCAGCGCACTGGGCCTCTGGCTACAAATTCTTTTAATGTGCTGTGCTAACTTTCCTTCAGAAGGAAAAATTGGCAATGTAATGGGCACCTCACTGCCCAAACCTGACGCGCCTTGTCGGCTGCTGAAAAAGAAATCCTTGAATGGGTTTGTCACTCATTTGCCTCCGCTTGCTGATTTTTGCGCGCGGCTTTCCGCCGCTTCCACTGATTGTTGCGGTCTCAGAAATCGGGTTTGTCACCCCTCTTCTTGTACGAAGTATTACTTCACTTGAATCCTGAAGAGATCTCTCTTATGCGCGGCTTCCCGCTGCATGGGTTTGTCACCCGTCTTTCAGGAGCAGTCTCGAGAGTTGCTGCTAAAGTGCATGGCTTTTCGCCACTTCCTCTTTGGAGCATGGGTTTGTCACCCATTACTCATTACTCGGGAGCAGTCTCAAGAGTTGCTGCTAACGTGTGTGGCTTTTCGCCACTTCCTCTTCGGAGCCATCGCATCTTTCATGAAGCTTGGGCTCTAGGACTGTGTAGTATCAGCCATGTCCCTGCTGAAATCTGAGGCGGCGTTTGAAGAACTTGCCACGGAATGTGGTCTTTCAAGTGCTCAGCTGCTGATCCTGAAAGGGAAAGGTGTCTCGACGATGTCGTCATTGGCCTATGCTGTCACCACTCCAGGTGTGCAACCTACGGAGCTTGCCCTTCGCCAGCTTCTGGACACTGCCACGCCTGATGCTGTGTCAGTTGGTGCCTTATCATCCATTCGGCGGTGTGTGTTTGAGTGCCAGACTTGTGTTGTGCAACAACTCAAGCTTTCAGTTGAAGGGCATGAGGGAGACAAGAAATATGACCTCCCACCTGCTGAACGTACCAGCCGCATTGCGGCTCAGAAGGCCAGGCTTGTCGGTTTTGAATTAACCGGCGCGATGGAGTGCGCATATTCCTGCTACACTCTTGTGGGCTCCATGCTTGAAGCCGACTCGCCAATTTACTTGGAGCCCCATAGGTTCATCACCAGGCAACAGGAGGTTTGCAGAGAAAAACCCAAGCGTGAGATCGTGCTTGATGGGGGTACCAAGCTCACTGTTCGTGATCAACAGAGTCGTGATCGTTGCCAAATCGCCAATGAACTTCAGCTCTGGCAGGCTCTTACACGTCGGAGCTTAGCCTGTGACCTTATGGGTGCCATCAGCTTCCAGGTGCAAGAATCTTGGCACCGCTTTTTGTTCGATCGCATGGCTCAGCCTCCCCCTCCGAGGTGCAGCAAAGTTTCCATGGAGCAATTGTTGAGGGCCGATCGTCAGGCTTGGGTTCAGTTGGCTGAGACGGTTAAGACACTTAAGAGTTGTAATCCTTGGCAGGCTGTTTATGTTGATTCATTGTGCCCATATCATAGGTATCTTCTTTGGTACCCCAGTTGGTCCCTGCTTGGTCCTTCTGTTGGTCCCATTGGGATAGATTCGGGAGGTGCCAAACAGAGCGCGGGGCAAACGTGATCATGCTGCTAGATACGCCATCAAGTGCAGTGTAGCCTGGAGCAAAAAGAAAGGCAGCAGAATGGCTGCATTCCCAAATCTTTCTCAGTTGTTGAAGCACTGTTGATACACTTGAGATGATCGCAAGCTAGCGCGTCATTGGCATCATGCACTGATCATAGTGGCAGGGCCTAGCCGCCTAGCTTAAATCTGAATGTCCGACGGCCGCCTGGATGAAGATGAGCAAGAGATGGAAGTGGCCCTGAACTTTTTGGTTCCCGTGCCGCTTTATCTGGCAGAGCTGCAATTGAACAAGTTCGATCCGCAACGGGAGTGACCTCGCCTCGCTTGCGACGGTTTGTGCTCGTTTGAAATTGAATTTCGATTTCGGGGTTTCGGAAGCTCCGGGGCCAGGTACGTGCTGTCCAGCGGCTGCACAGCTGCAGGAACTGCCGCCTACTGCATGCCAGCTTCCCAGAAAAACTTGTGAACCAATGCCTCCCGTGATTGCTTGACTGGCTTGATTCATTCAGGCAGCAAGTCTGTCGATTTACCGGGACAACCTTCAGGGAAGTCATTGCCAGCGAAAGCAGTCGGGAACTGCAGGATGTTCTCAAGGCTTCCTATGCCATGGAACATTTATTTCACGAGCCTTCGCGTAAATTTCTGTTACTAGTTACTAGGGACAGTATTTGCGACTGCAGAACGATCTTCCCTCTAGCCAAATCCATCGCTTAATTCAGGATGTGGGTGATGCCCACTCGCATCTCGGTGGCCCATGTGCGCTTCATCCTGACAAGGAGTACTGCGTGGCCCCGCTTGTCGAGGAGGATACGACGGCAGCGCTGGTCTTTCTCATAGAGTTCGGGTTTCGGGTTTTTAGATTCCCTTTGTGGTGGCGTCTCATGAGGGTGCTGGAAGACTAAGTCTAAGTTGGCAAAAGTTGCGTGCAACTTCAAGGATTTCGGAAAAGCTTTGTCAGAAGACTTCCGAGGATGTGTTGGTAGCAGGTCCTCCCTGCCAACCATACAGCATATTGAATTCAAACCGCTGGAAGCCTGGCTACGCACCATGGAGCACGGAGAATGCGAGACCATTCTTAGAGATAGCAAGACATGTGCGCAAGCGCCGGCCACGAAGCGTGGTGCTGGAAGAGGTGTGTTGCCTAAAACGTAGACGTGGGGTTGCTCCCCAGTTTTGCCCTTCCTCAAATTGCACAGGTGTTGGGAGTTCTCAGCCAAGGGAAACATGGCGATGAGCACAACCCGCTGCAGCCCGAAGCTGCAGAGGCCGTTGGTTAAGAGATGATTCCGGGGGTGTCTTTGCGGTTTACGGGTTCGTACAAAGGTTCCAGGCTCACGACAAGCTAGGGATCCGTTGCTGCCCAACCTTCTCGCCTAGGGCTCGCCTTGGGGTACGACTTTATACAAGCTGTTGGCTTGACGACTTATAAGTTATAAGCTATAAGAAGTTATAACTTATAACTTATAACTTGGGTTTTCGGAGTAGTTTCGGTATCAGTCGCGCTGTCAGATCTCGGCTGATCTCGGCCATTTCGGCATGATCTTTAAACCCTATTATAAGCCCTGAACCCCGTATACGCTATTTTTAAGAGGATGTTGTCGGGAGCTCGCGGTTTCGAAAGGGTCGGGTTCACTGGTCATTGCTAGAACCTTCTCGAACAACAAAGTTGGAGTAGCAACGGGATACCCAACATCTTATTCTTATAAGGTCTGGGCTCTGTTTTTTGGGGTGTCGGGCGTTGGGGCTAAACTCTAGGTTCCAGCCGTGCATCAGGATCTCCTGGCTCAGGATGCTGGTTAGATGGGAGTGTGCCTTTAACCCTAACCCTTTACCCTGAACCCCGGATCTACACAAGCTCAAACAAAGGCCGAAACAAAAAACTGGACTTAGCATGCCTACAACCTCTGCAGGCCGCTTACGAAGGCGTAGGCTACTGTCACGTCACAATTCTTTCATGTGATGCCATGGAAATGCAAACGCTGTGCTAAGAACACAACAACCCGGAGACCTCCGAATAACGAGTGTTATTCCTGCCGTCCTTTCTCCGTTATTGGCTGGCACAACAAATTGGTTCCCAATCGACGACTGGTCAAGAAGACACCGCCTGCTGCGTTACGACCCAAGATATCGAACAGCAAGGCTCCTGGCTCAAAGTCCCGCGTCGGCACATTTGCATGGGAGAAGGCCGGGAAAGAGGTGCGAAACAGTGCTCAGTTTGTGCGGCTTCAGAAAATGAAGAGCGGCCTGGAAGCTGAGACTCCCATTCTGTTGCAGATCACGCGGGATGATTATGCAAGTGTCCACAGCATTTTAGCATCAGCTCACGCTCTTCTTCAGTGTTTTGAATGCAGAGAGATATCGCTCCCTTGCAAAACGGAGCTTGCCATCGCCGGATTAATCTCATTTGCAATGGCCACTTCGGCAAGAGTGTGCGATGCGGATTCACTCAGGGTCGAATACCGCACGACCCGTAAGATCAAGCGACCTGAGATGATGGCAGTGGAGTGCTTTTGGACCAGCGAGCTGGGCAATTGCCGCGGTGCAGAAGGGTTGCTTGGCTCCTAGTTTTTTGGCTTCTCCTTCCTGGTCATGTGGCAATTTCTGCGACTGGCACTGGTGGCAGCAGCCAAGTAGTCTCCTGACTCAAGAAAGAGATATTTTTGGTAGGACGTTTCCCACGGCTATATCTTACTGTACTGCTTTAGTATTGTCATAATAATCCGGCCACCCTGTTGCCAGGTAGCACGCCCACTCACTCTGCGGGCATCAGCAGAAGTGCAGCAGCCCGTCTGCATATCGCGAGTTCCGAGACCATGTGGGATTGCAGTCGGATTCGCTTCAGCTTCGAGTGCTGACAGGCTCAATCAGACTACCCTCCTTTGCGTTGTTGCTGTGGTACCCACTCAAAACACATACGTTTGCGAATCAACGAACTGCGAATTTCCGGTGGATTCATAAGATTCATAGCTGCTTGACTCCAAGCCCAGGCATTCGGCTCCTGTGTGGGCATGAGGACGTGGTTGGCAGGCGTGGTTGGCAGGCAGGAGCCCTCCGCGGCGTGGGTAATTTCACCTACTGAGTCCCTGTCATTGTATATATCATGTGAATATTATATATGCTTATATATTACATTTCTGAGTTGAATGGAGTCCATTATCATTACTCTATTCTCTGCTTTCGTATTGCCATTCCTTGCAGGGTTTGAAAGGAGTTGGCCGGACATTGCAGAAGCAAATGTCTCAAGGTTTCGTAGGCGTTGCCACGATTGGGCAAAGCACAAGTTTCGCACGCAGCTGTGCGCCACACCGGAAAACAAACCGACGTCGGCACCGCTGACATCCCACCCTTCAAGTTGTAGACGGTCATTCGTGTTCGGGTTCGGATGTGTCGATGCCGCTGAACTTGCCCGCAACACCCCAAGACTCTAGAATGTATCCATTGCTCGGCCTGCATCCCCTTTGCAAGCCTCCCGCTTTTCATAGTTTCAAGGCTCAGAGTTTCGGGTT